GAAGATAGGTTTTTTTTTTTTTTTTTTGGGGAGCAAATGCATAGCTGGAGATATTTCTGTCATTGGATGACATCACTTTTTGCTGGTTGTTGGGACCTATTCGCTCTTTATTTTTTTGGGTAAATACCACGAGGTGTCCCCACAGTAGAAGGGTGGGATTAATCCCCGCTCAAGGTTCGGTTTGCCTCTGACCACAAAGTGCTTCCAACAGGTTTCGAACCCCTGCTATTGAGGCACTAAGTAGCTCACGAGCTGGAGGTGGCAGTTTGCCAACTGCTCTTTCATTCTCATACAAATGCTGGATGAGCTTAATTTTATATGGTGGGATGAGAAGAATGTATTACTTCCCTTTCCATATGATAGAAGTCTGCAAATCTGTATCTTAACCAGATGCGTACATGAAAATGAAAGGGAAACTTTATTGAGTAAGGCATAATCATGCATTGATTTCAAAAGTGTATAATTAGTACATTTTTAAGTTCAAGCTTTCTTGAACATGACTTTGAATGGCACGTCAGTGAGAGCCAGACGCCTTTTCCCATCTTGAATAAAAATCCCAACATCTCTGCATATCACTTTGCAGAAATTGCAAACTGTTGGGCAGAAAACGAGCTTGTAGTCTTCATCATATTTCTCAATCTTAAACCAATTGCTTGTGGTTTGACGACCCGGATTGCCCTCAACCCCACCACTAGTCACAAACCACTGTCCTGTTTGCTCATCAAACTTGTCCAATTTCCAAATCGTGGATTGAACGCAGATTGTGGCAGCAGAGAACTTGATGTTATGATCGGTTGAGACCCGAACCACGCCTTTCTTTGGGTTCACCGGCGAAAATGTCAGCGGGAGACCATTGGAGACCTCATGCTGCTCTTGAACAACATCAAGTGGGCAGCTGGTTGTGTTGCTAGTGCTGGCCAGAGTGAGTCCCCCGCCCCTCCCACGGATGACTGGTAAGATATAATAATTGGTGCCCGTTCGGAGCTTCTTGCCGGTGATGTCAAGCACCGGGGACGGAGCAGCATCGGCTGCAACCGACCATGGCTTGGCAGAGAAGGCAAGGAGAAGGAAGCAGAGCGCTAGCCTCAATGACATTGTTATGAGTACTTTCTTTGTTATTTTGTGTATATATGAAAGAGGGGCTTCTATTTATAATAGAAACTATAGATTTAGATTACATTTGGGTTGAAAGATGATGCCTTGGCCTTACACTTATTTGTTCCTATCCACAACTAACAAAAAATATCCACAGCTTAGGCTAATTCCATTGAAATGTTAGCTGTGTGCTGAAAACGTAAAACTTGGTACAATTCGAAAGTCGAGCAATCTGTATTTTAGGTGAAGTCAAATGTCAATACCCAAATATGATTCAAAGTTTCCGTCTCTGATTTCATTTCAAACCACATGATTTGTTTGATAAGGTACCAAGAACGTGATATAAATGATAATACATATATATTATAGCGGTGGCCTTGACTTCATATATGTCTATGAGATATATATGAAGCTGGGAAGCATTACGTGCCCTTTTTGGTCTATGAATCGTACATAATATATTTGAAGGATTCTGCGGTTTTCCACGCAGGCTTGTTCGAATTCTGGTTTTGCAAATACTGTGAATTGCGCATGCATCAACGGTCAAAAAAAGCTCATGCATAGAGGCCCAACTTAATTAACACTGCTTATTATATTTTAGCAATTAATTAGTGATTTGTAACTCTAAACCCCTATGAGAGATAAAAGTGAGATCCAAGTCCAAAACAAAAAATAATAATTGAATTGAATTGAGCTAATTATAACGATTCGCAAAAGACTTGGATCCTATGTTAGGTTTTATTTGACTTCTCTTCTCTACATGTTGCCTCACTTAAAATATCAATCAAACGGCTAAAAAACTAACACCACAATTTTCTTTTTAAAATAGCTTAAAGTAGGAACTGATCATTTTCTTTGATGAGTTCTTCCATACCAGTCAATATCTTCTTCCTTGTGATGGTCTTCTTTTCTGTTTTTCTTTTTGCTTTTTCATTCTGACGTTTAAGGCTATGATTCCATGTCTCGATCGAGAGAAGTAGAAAGAAAAGAAGAGGTTGAGCCAATTGAATCAAATAAAATTCTTAATTGATGACAAAATGATGCAAAACAGATGACGGAAGCAATCAAAGAGGAGTTGGACAAATGCGTGCGTAAGGGCAAAACATGCAAACTGCAAATTTGGGCTTTGAGCTCAGAATCGGGCACATAACCCGTCGATTCGAAGAGAATGACATCACGAGTAAAACTCATCTCTTTGCCATGATGTATGGGTTTTTTCGGGCATTCGAGATCGTTTAGCAGCCCAAAATCCAGTTTTAAAGTTTTTACAGTTTTTGAAAACTTTGTTATTTTCCTATTTTAATTCTTTGTTTATTCCTAAGGTTTCTAGGAGTATTTAAACAAATTTTACCCGTGGGTAGGATTATGTTTTGTTCTTCCAATTTATCAAATAAACCTTTCGGTTTCCTCATATTTTCCTGGTGGATTCCAAAGTTACATGTTCTAGGCTAAGGTTTTAGCCAATCTATTGTCACGCTGCGTCACAAAACTAGAACAATCACAAACCTAAAACTTCTACACACTTTCGTGTAATAACCGGTATTTTAGTATTTGCA